TTTTAGTTTATATTATTATTCCGATGATGAATTCCCCTGCCTTGATTTAAGCACGATTATTGTCCTAGTGCGTATTGGTTATAGGTTCAGTAAATTCTTTCGTGCAAAGCTCGGAGTGAGGTAAAGAGGAATGGATTCTCCACTGCTGTTTACAGTGCATCTTGACTGAATGCCCCAGCCAATGCGAAAAGGTGATGCTACGACTGCAAAAGGGTGGACATTTGTGTAAACTCTCTTGCATTGGCGAATGATATCTTATTGTATACAAACAACTTTGATGCTGCGACATCACTTTTCCTATGTCTGAAACAGGTGTTCTGATCGTGGTCTCTCATTTAACTTAAAAAATGGAGTGCATGGAAAGTGGCACAACCCAGACTAGCGACTATCTGACCTTTCACGCAGATGTTTTGAAAAAGGCAACAGGACAACAAGATTGGAAGAAATCGTTAGATCTGACGCAGCATCAGAAGGAGTGAAGAGTTAATAAGCATTTATTCGATCGAGGTGGAATGCTTTTGCGGCATCCAGCGTCATCTGCGATGCAGTTGGATAAGAGTAAAACGATTGTCCAACTTTATGGGCCTTTGGTAGCTGCGTTAGTAAAGTACCCAAAGTAATCTCCTTTTTCAGGTCCGGGGTGTTGTGTAACATGTTGAAGGCTGTTTTAACTAGAAGTTGGTATGTGTTCATCACCTTTAGTCAAACCATTTGCCTAGGCAGAATGTCTTTGATTTATGATTTCCGTTGTATTCGCAGTTTCACAACATCGGCTGCTGCATCGCAGAATGAATGAATCTTCTCCGAAAGCAGATACATCTCTGTTTTGTTTCTCCCTGATGCATGTTTGCCTGCTGGTAGATGTATGTTGTGTTTCGATTCCCGTGCGAGACGTTCATGGGTTGGAGTAAATGGTTTTTTGCTGAACCAGTTTGTCTACATAGGCTAACCTTCTTTTCTTAATTTCCACTTCTACTGTTGTCACTTGTGTCCGGAAGAGGGTAGAGTCATTCCGTACGTGGCTTTGCTACCTAAATAACCTTAATTATGCGTCGAAACCAACGCTGCTGTACGCGGTTTAGCCTTCGATTTTGCTTCTACATTAGAACAGCTGTCGCCGTGCGATGCAGCAGCATTGCTGTGACCGAGGCAATATGCAGGCAGATTTCTGTTGAAAGAGCTACCCCTTTCTCAGGTAAAATATTTTACAGGTTACCGAAAGTGTTTAATGTGAAAGCGATCATGCTGTTTAATTCTGATTGGCTGGTACCGTCGCGCAGGTGATTGAGCCGAAATACGTAAACTGTTAGATTTCCACTATAGTTTGCCCTCCCCCGGGTTTCACTGCTAGATCAGCCGTGTCTCATGTTCCTCATAACTTTGATCTTCCAGGAGTTGAAGAAGAGTCCAGCTTTCGCAGCTGTGATGCATATGGAATCCATCAGGTGATGGTGCTCGCACCCCGTACTGCTCACCCGGGTACTGTCATCCGTGTACTCCAGGCCAGAAAGATATCAAGCCGGATATCTTAGACTACGCGTTCCCTCTGGAATGAGACCCTCGCTTTGCTAGAATCAACAGTGTTACATAGCAAGGGTGAAAGTATATCTCCGTGGCGAACACTGCACTTAATAGGGAATCACTCACATTTCTCTCCTTGGATATTGACAGCAGGTATGATTCTTGCGTACGTCTCTTTTAAAATGGAAACGATGTGTTCGGGTATCCGATAACTGGGATGATGGTTACGTAATGTTCAACATCGTTCGTTACAGGTGAACTGATCTGATGAAATTAAATGAGGTAGAACTGAATTTTGGTGTTGATAGCTAAACATTCGGTTCGATCGTAAAGTAACTCAGTGTCGTGGTTAACAGCTTGTTTAGCTGGAATGTTCGTCAATAGTTATTGAAATTTGGTAGTACTTTGATACCATATATTTTAAGAAACTTCATAACACGTTTAAATTTCTGACGTGGGTCAAAGAAAACATTGGGCAACAGAGCGTACGAATATCATGATATACGCTGTTACAGAGATTGATCGACGATTCTGCCGCCGCGTGATTTTCGTATCATCACATTTGGTAGCGGACAGCAATATACGATCGCTTGCTAATCAACACGCGTGTTACTGCTTGCCGTTGATCATGACACTGAGTTACTTTATGGTCGAAATGGGTGCTGCATTAGCGATATTAGGTTCAGTTCAGTGGTATTAACATGCATAAATTGAATTACCGGTTTGCCTGTAAATAGGTATTCCCTCCCCAGGCAGTCGGCAAAATTATTCTTGGTAAGATTTCCAGTCAGTCCTTTCCCGCATGCAGTTAACTCTTAGAAAAAGTTAGAATTCTTTGCGAAAGACCCAGTTCTCTTCAACCTTTTGGTAGTTGGTTTTGACGTACTTATGGATGTCTTGTTTCTTATATTTGCTGCCCGGCTTGTCTGAGTTATGAGCTCCGTGAACAGAAGTCGAACTTTTCTCCAATATTCTCTGCCTTCACCTTTATGCCTCCACTGCTGACCAGGTGATTTCACCGCCACATCATTACAGCATATTTTTTACGGCTGACTCAGAGCTGGTGGTGCAGCAGAACCCTATTTGTTATTGTTGCCATTTAGCGGTTGTCTCTCAGAGGAGCCACATGACCGGCCCATGTTCTTTGGTGTCGTAGGAGGTTAAAATTACGTCATGTAATCCAGCCCGTTGTCAAATTTGTATGTTGTTTGTGTAATTACCAGTTTGTTCTTCTCGGCTTTAGTAGCAAACCAACATTTGGCAGTCATTGATTACGGCGAGTAGAAAGCTGAATCGAATAGTTATGAAGTTTTGCTACGAGTAAACGCGCGAAGAGCGCTGATGAGATAATATTTCCTTAGCGCACTCATCCATGGATTCTGATGAGACGTGGTTCGCTGACCAGCTTGATGTCAGTCGTGCAGCCAGTGTTCATTTCCACGATATGTTTGACGTAAACGGTTTTTACCATGTTCATGCAAGGCTTTGGCACAGTTCTCTCGAGTGGAACATCTTTTAGTCATTGAATACAGAACTGATATTCGTTACAGTTCTCCGTCAGTTGTTGGATGACATGTGCATTGTCGATGGCTAAAACCGCTGTGCGAAACCGTCTTTTATACACCTTGTGATTTGTTTGAGATCCTTCCAAATACGATTGAGAATGATGCGGGCGAAGACTTTGTAGATTTGCAAAAGGAGTATAATTGGTTGATAATTCTTGAAGTCTTCATAGTGACTTCTCTTCTGGCCGGAGAGATCTTGATTACGTTCCGGATCTATTTACGAATCGCATTATGTGATTTACTGAGTCATAAATGTTGTTCAGGTTTATACGGTAGCCTGCACTTATTTTCCGATTTTCATTACCTTTGAGCACTTTTTGGAGAATAATTGCTTAGCAGTTTCTTCAGGATGTAACCCTCGTAAACTATTGACAACGTCTTCCCAACCTTCATCCAGTCAAACGGATTCACAGAAGTGGAGTACTCTATAAAGTTTCGATCAGAAAAATGTCCCGGCAAAGTAGCTGGCAACATTACCGCCTCAGTTTCAACCACCTCTTACACACCACTTTCGGGCACTTACAAAACAGGAGTGTTTCATATGTATCGCTTACATTTGCTGGCGCTTTTTATAGTTCATGCTCGTATTCGAGCACAGTGCAGAATTGTACCTTGATACTGAAGGCTGATAGTATTATTAGGCAGCATTTGAGAATACGAGTTATTCTAGTCTTTTCTTAGTGCTGCAGGATCATATACGAGGTTAGTATCACTCTCTTAATTGTCGAAGTAATTGAAAACGGGGAGGGAAAAATGTTGACCCTGTTTGGAAATTAGTTGTGAATTAGTAGCGTTTCTTCAATGGGCAAAATAGAAAGAGAGACTGGCTTTGCAGTCTGCAAGTAATTTTTCCCTCCACAGTGATGACACACTTAGGGACATCTTATGCAACTTGTCTGAACAGATGAAATGTCATTTTAGGCAGGGCTTACCTCAGGTGGAATGTAATTGCGAGTAATTCTACCTGACGATGACAGCTGACAATTTTTTTGTAGGCGATTATCTGTTAAACGAGTCATAAACTTTCTTATTCATCTGTTTTTTCTTGTTGTTTCCTACCATCAATTTTACAAGAAAGAGTTATGTTTACATGCGTGATCAGCGCGGCGCAGATGGCCCATTCAAAAGAGGTCATAAACTTTAACAGTAAATACAGCACACACCAGTATGCACAGGTTGCAGAAACAGTGCCAAAGACTCACTGGATTGTATAATCTCATAATGGTTCCTTTTCAAAGGCGTAAGTCGGCATTTAGCACGTTTTAAGCTTAAAAGCATGGTACCAGTATGCAGTTATATGTAAATACGATTGTCAGTCCGAAAGTGGTTTTCTATGTCAAAACGCCGAGGGACACCTAAATGGTGTAAGACTATTCTCACGACGCCACACAATAAATTAAACAATCAAATGAACATTTGAAGCAGTAATCAGATATCTACATGAAAAATAGTGCTTGAATTTTTATACGGGTGCACAGTTTTTCATCATGATTACCTTCAAAAAATTTTTCGCTATAATCAATTTGCCGCACATGTCAGATCACACTAGATCGATTTTCAGGAAATACAATTTCCAGTTTGCGGAAACAAATTTTAAATTGTTTTTTACCTGTTTGTGAGTTGTGTTCCCTAAAAATAAATCTACTACGATCCAAAACATTTGGTTAGTTGCAGATAGATATTTGAGGATTGAACCGTTTGAGAACTACGTTCATAAAATTATAAATTCTTTTTAACCTCCTCAGAAATCAGCTTCCTTATAATGCTATAAGCCGTAACGGCTTATAAAATGTTTTTTATATTTGACTTTAAGGTTTGTTCTATATTTGTTTTAGGTGGCGAGTGATGGTTGCGATTCACTCGGCTGTTTCTTCCTGACCACTCGATGAACCTTGTGACTTCCATCGACACGCGATGAGCAGGCGTCGAGAGCGCCACCGGGACATACAGAAATACGACCCTGTTCGAGCGGCGAATATCACCGGAATCGATGATGTTATTCATGATCGTGCAGTGCTGCGCGCGTTGACCAGCCGCTACAAACTAAAAGGCGAGGTGTCAAGGCATTCGCGAAAAACGTTGTTTGTTGGTCGTCTGAATCCAGAGACGACCGAGTCTGAGTTGCGGGAGGCTTTTACCGAATTTGGCCAGATAAAATATCTGCGACTGGTGCGTGACATTGTCACCGGCACGTCTAAGCGTTACGCGTTCGTCGAGTACAAGCATCGGTCGGATTTGGAGCGTGCCTACCAGAAAGCGCATTTGACAATGCTGAAGGGCTACCAGATCATTGTCGACTACGAGGCCGAAAGAACCTTAGCTGGATGGGTGCCTCGACGGCTCGGAGGCGGCTGGGGCGGTAGGAAACAATCGGGCCAGATGAGGTTTGGTTGTCGCTGCAATCCGTTTCGAACGCCGAAGAAAAGGCTGCATTGATGTATTATTCTACGAGCTTTCGAGCGAGAAACGATGCTGCGACAAAGTTGTTCTGATGATTATGTATGATTTGTGATGTGTAGTGCTCATGTGACCAAGCTGAGGTCGTCTCTGACCTCACCTAGCAACAGATTTGTTTAAGCGTAGCTTTGTCAGACCAGTTATTTTGCATTTCTGTGTACAGGTCTGTTGTTATGAAAATAATTGCTTACTCGTCAGTTTACGATTGTATTGATTTATGTTTCACTCTAAGTATATTATTTGACGCGGTCAGTTTTCTTCACACCGTTAATTTGTTGTTCTGCAGGAGTTTAAACCTGTCGCCGTAAACATCCAGTTCAATCCAGAACTAGTCTGTTGTTCAGAATATAGATCTTTCGTCATGCTTCTTTCAGGGATAAGTCCATTTTTGCATACCCCCTGGAAAACGGGGACGCCATGTGGAAGAAATCGCATTCAGTTATTATGGGCACAGAATATTCGAAATAAGTTTTTTTTGAAAAGTCAGCGTTTTGGGCAATAACTACGCTGTTCATCGCCAGAGCATATATGAAGTGCACTAAAAGTGTCTGTGATTGCTTTTAACCAAAGATTTGATGAATATGTTATTCTGTAGTGCATTTCGCAAAGTTTTCATCCATTTGCCGCAGCCAAGCTATGTGAGGCTATAATTTCTGCACTTGCTGTTGATGTAATATCATTTTCAGCCTGTTGCAGTTCTCTGCTAGATGAGGATCTGTCCACTGCCTTGTCGTGCATTGCCCTTTTCCTCAGTTGTTATCACCCTGATTGAATTTCTGCTCATCCTACTATCGATTTGATGGAATTCACAGAGGTCTTCGACATATAAGGTTATCCAATATGGAACATAAGAGTAGATCACGTTTGTCTTGGGCTGTTTGATGTTCCAAATACTAGTGAGCACTAAACAAGGCAGGAATTACTCAGCTTAGTTTTTTCGCTAAGGAACAACCACATTTTATTGATTAATGAGTAAAAATATCTAGTAATCAAATGTAGTTTTATTTTTCTCTTCAGATTCTTTATGGAGCACAGTGGCGCAATGAATGGCTGTTTGACTGCACTTTGGAGATGCGTGGTTTCAATCTCTAGCTGACAGATTTTCTTATTAACGGCTAATTATCTTGAGCAAGGAATTCACTCATTCATTATTTACTGCAACCAGCCGAGGAACGGGTAGCGAGTTGTTGATTTACGAACAGTATGATCAGAACTGTGTGATGTGGTTATGCCAGAGTATGTGAAACTTACGACCAATTTGTTTCATACGCTAACCTTAGGACTGCTACTCGTTTTTGCCCGTTAATTAGAAGTCGGCACAACATGTAATCTTGAATATTACAAACTCAAACTTAATACTATCCCGTTCATAAGTTTCATCCTTGCCTTGAGTCGTTCTCTGTTTAGATGGCGTACAATAGGGTGAAAAGTTTTATAAGATTTTCTGCAGGGAATTCACAATGATAGTGATTCAGGTTTGCAGTAAAAGTGCCTTTTGGCTGACGGGCTAGTTTTAGCAACGTAGACCGAGCCAACAACACTAATTACTGCAGTCTCTTTAGCCGGCCGTTCGTGACAAATACTAGGAGTGCGAATCAGCAGAAAGTTCACTCACCGGTTTTCTACCTGGCGCGCGATCACTATCGTTGATCGACCTCATCGTCCGCCTCCGTTAGACACTTGGCTGGTTTGTGAGGAGTATTTGTAAAAATAAGGGAATAATTGCGCATTACTAGCTATCACAAAGAGAGAAGAGGGCGAAAAATATTGAATGACGTTGCTTCATATATACTATGCTTAAGGAAAGGTGTATCAACGATTCGGGCGATGACCTCTAGTTATACCTGCTTCTAAACAATATCGGTGGCGGGGGGGGGCGGGATGGACGAAAGGTACACTGTGTTAACGTGTAAACGCTGTTGCTTTCAAACTTTTCTTGTCAAAAAGGTCGCAGTGGTGAACTGAGAAACGCTATGTGTCTCTGTGACGGGGACTTGAACCTCGACGGGAATGGCGGCGTTTCTGAGCCGCTGCAGGAACGCGACGCCCTCTTGGGTTTTTCGAGCTTTTCACGTTCGAATTCTTTTTCTCCTTGTCATGTCGGAGAGTACTCACGCAGTACTGAAAGGTGTTCTCAGGCAGGCTTTTCGAGGCCGGCCGTCGCATCTTAAAATCACTTTTGAGGGTTTTGCGAACTGCGTCGCAACGAGGCTCTATGCAGCCGCCTTGCCGAGACGAGGTCTGTTTTTGAGCTACACGGTGTTAACCGTTATAAAAACCTGAATCGTTATCCCTTGAACTGTGTTAGCAGCATCAGCGGTGGTAGCGGCTCAATCTGTCACTCGCCTTGAGTTCTTATCCTCTATGCGTTTGATTGCCTCCGTTTTTTATCTGTCTAATACGAATCTTTGCCTGTTCCCCTCATTCTCGCTGATGCGAATGCACGTAGGCGAAAACCACGGATATTTCTCAAAGTATGCATCCCAACGGGAATTTTTAAGAGGCTCCTTTGAATTACAGTTTACAAATATTAGTTTGTTTAAATGGATTACTTTTAAAACTACCACGCACACTTCGAAAACGATTTTAGCAGCGGATACGGCTTCTGCTACCTTTAAAATACTTCCGAACACCATCTTCCATCCCCGCTTCTCCATTCGGGTCGCGGAAGCACCCACGTCAGACAGAGCTTCCAACGTTCCCGATCCTGTGCTAGAGTCTGAGCTTCGGCAAAAGACAAATGCAGTCTGGAACAGAC